AATAGAGATGAAGAACAGTGGACAGGCCAGAAATCTAAGGAGTTAGGATTGATAGGAATTAGTGAATGATGAGATGCAGTCAGTAAAGGCTAAGGCATTATCAAAGATAACCCTCAGGTTTTTGACATGAGCAACTGAGATCATAGTGAAGCTATCTACTGAGCCTAGGGAAAACTAGAAAAGGAGCAGAGTGCGATAGTTCAGAGATGACTAATTTGGTTTGGGACAGACATGAAGAGATTATGGTGCCCTTGTGAAATCTAAATGGAGATGACCAGTCCAGAGAAAGTCTGAGAGATGAAGTAACAAAATTACTAATACAGGGATGGTATTGGAAACTGGGGGTGTAGAAGAGGTCACTATATAAGACCTAGCCCTAGGATCAACTCCTGAGATTTGGTAGAGGAAGTTAAACCTGCAAAGTAGGCTGAAAAGGAGCAGCAAGAAGAATAGTAAACCTGGGAGCTAAACAAAGCCATTAGTTTTTGTTTTTGTTTTTAATTGGGGAATTGGGGGAGGGGAACTGTGTGGGGGAATTGGGGAGGGGGACCAGCCAAGTTGTTGTTCTTCAATCTTTGTTGTGGAGGGCGCCAGTCACCGTCTAGCTGCCGGTTGGCAGCTCATGGCCTCTAAGCTCAAAGTGCTGTGTTCAGTCTTAGTTGCAGGTGGGCATAGCCACCATCCCATGCGGGAGTCAAACCAGCAGCCTTGTTGTTAAGAGCGCATGCTCTATCCATTGAGCCATCCGGGCAGCAGCTCAGCTCAGGGTGCCGAGTTCAGTCTTAGTTGCTGGTGGACATATCCACCATCCTATGTGGGAGTCAGACCGGCAGCCTTGTTGTTAAGAGTGCATGCTGTATCCACTGAGCTATCTGGGGTAGAGTTCAGTCTTAGTTGAGGGCGGGCATAGCCCACTATTGAACAGACAGTCTTGTTGTTAGGAGCACGCTCTCTCACCAGCTGAGCCATCCTGCCACCTGTTGGCAGCTCAGCTTGGGCGCAGTGTCACTGGCCCAGGTGGGAATCGAACCGGCGACCCTTTTGCTCAGAGCTCACACTCTTAAGCTAACTCTTAACCAACTGAGCCACTTGGTCAGCCCAAGAAAGCCATTAGTTTAAGAAGAGGGAGTGGTTAGGCATAGAATGCTACTTAGACATAAAGATGAGAGCCAACTTGTGTCTGTTGGGTTTAGAGATACGGGGGTCTTTAATGACCCTGGTAAGGACTGTTCTACTGGTTTGATAGAAGCAGATATCAGATGGGACTGGGTTGGAGAAGGAGTGTGAGAGGTAAGGAAATAGAGACAGGATGTTTAGACAACTCTCTTAATAAGGCTGGCTTTGAAAGAAGAGAGTGGTATCTGGAGGGGGAGATGGGAGGTTGAGGTGGTAGGCAGAAGGAGAATTTTTAAAAAATGAATAAATGGATGGTCCAGTTGAGTGTGAGATGTTGAGGAGTGCCAAGGAATAATCAAGAATGTGAGGTTCCAGGGAGCTGAGACAGGGATGAGCTGTAAAATCCATATATTAATAGAAGAGGATTGCCTTTAGCACCACGCTCTAACCAACTGAGCTAACCAGCCACCCAAGGATTGCCTTTAGATTAGAGGGAAGAATAGTGTGGAGGAAATGCTGTTCTGATAGGATAAATGCTATATTTTATATGTTTAGTATTTCACTGTAAATTCCCTGTGAACTATAAACCCAGAGGGTTGAGAGCCTTTTATCCCATTTATAAGATGGAACTCCTATTTGATAATTTTATCATTTTCTTTCTTTCTTTTTTTTTTGTTTAAGATTTTATTGGGGAATTGGGGAAAGGGAACAGTGTTGAGGGAAGAAGGACAGCCAGGTTGTTGTCCTTCAGTCTTAGTTGTGGAGGGCTCAGCTAGCTTAGCTCCCAAGTTCAGTCGCCATCGGGCCACCCGTCAGCAGCTTGGGGCAGCTCAGCTCAAGGTGCCGTGTTCAATCTTAGTTGCCGGGGATATAGCCCACCATCCCATGCAGGAGTTGAACCGGCAACCTTGTTGTTAAGAGCTGGTACTCTCACCAGCTGAGCCATCCTGCCATCTGTTGGCAGCTCAGCAGCAGCTCAGCTCAGGTGCAGCTCACTGGCCCCTGTGGGAATCAAACCGGCAACCCTGTTGCTCAGAGCTTGGCTTTTAACCAACTGAGCCACTTGGCTGGTCCCAATTTTATCATTTTCTATTGCCATCTACTTTTGACTACCTCTACCAGAAAAGTCCACTCCCTCCACACCCCCCAAAACCAATATATGAAGTAAATAATCTGGTTGCTTGGGAAGATTAATCTGTACATATGACATCTTTTTCCCTGTGTTTTGGGTACTTCATTTTTACTCCACTTCAGGGAGCTTTGTCAGAGCTTCTATTTCCACTTCCTGTGGCTTTTTTTTCTTGTGTTTCATGAATTACAACAAAATTCCACTATAGGGGGAAATTCTGGTAGAATTCACTGACCATATTTGACCTGAATAGTGGTTGGTGTCATGAGCAGAAGCCTAACTCCTTTTTTTTTTCAGTAGACTTTTATGTTAGAGTGGATTTTTAAATAAATAATACTTATATGCAATACAAAATTCAAGAACAGTACAAAACCAGGTACAATAAAAAGTCTTTGACTCCTGTTCCTTCATTCACTCTCTTTCATTGCCAAAGCAGCTGGTGTTACCATTTTCTTAAGTATCCTGCCAGAAAGTCTGTGCATCTAAATGAGCATCTATAAACTCATTTATAAGTATAATTTTATTCTTTACAAATGGTATAGTGTACTGTTTTTGTTCATGTGACATAAATTGAAAAATTGCTCCAATTAGTATATACAGAATCTTTTCATCCTTTATGGCCATTTTTGTATGGGCATACATATGATAAAACTAATTACTTGTGTCCCTTTTATGGTTGATGCCAGTGTTTGTGATTGATTTGGGCATATTTAAGTGGTTTCGACTGCAATACTGGTTGCCTTTTGAGGCAGCAGAAGTCATAAATCTCAATAAACACTTAAAGTCAAGGAATTTGAAATGAAAGATAATCATTTGATTGATGTGTCATATTGAAAGACGTTGATATTGTCATGTTTTCTTACAAGGAAAAACAGTCAAGATTCATTTGTGCTACCTATGCTATTTACAGAAGAAACGAGTTTTATGGTTATTTTAATAAATTTACCTTTCAATCCAATGTTATATTATGTAGTTTGAAAAGGTCCAGTTCTTCTGCTTTCAGAAGTGAATTTGAGACTTTTGATGCTTGGCTTTATGACTGACATTAATTTCATTTGACTATATTTCTCAGGTATTTCAGCTTTGAGAAAAAGCTTTATTCCAGAATATAAACTTCATTCTCTACAGAAGAATCAACTCTCATTTTTATTCAGTTAGAAAAATCTTGGTTTACTCCTCATACCTGGGGGTATTTCCCTATCTGCAAATATTTTATTGCCTGTTTGTTTTGCCAGCATGCTTCATTTATGACACTGGCAGTTTGATGGTTTAACTTTTACTCCCTCTGTTGGGTTTTAGAGGTGTTACATTCCTTTTGTAATGGTGTTAGGAATAACATTCATGCTTATTTTCATTTAACTAAAAAATTAGTAATGATGCAAATATGCTTATGAAATAGGCTATCTACATGGGATTGTTTAAAATTAATAACTTTCTAGTGGCTGTGAATGTTCTGGTTTTCAAGAATGTGTTTCCATCCAAATGCCTGTTTTACCAGCAGCTGAGAACAGGGCTATGAAAATAAAAAACAGGTATTTAGAAAATTCATGTTTATGCTAAGCAAAGAAGTAGGCTTGGCATGATAGATCAATCAAAGGATTTTTCAGATATTTTCTAGTTGCTGCCTACCTCATTGTGAACCATCGAGTAACTCGGAGAGTACCTTCCTAACATACCATTTAGCTTATTAATGTTTGTGTCTGTGTGTGTGTGACCTGTGGGACATCATGATAATTGCCTTTGTTAACATCACGTGTACAGGGTGAGGGATTTACTTGCCTTGTGCATTCTTAACATTCTCTTAAAAACTACCAGTTAATGAAGTTTGCACTGTATAGGTCACAACTCTTGTGGTTAAAGATTATGTCCCATTTCTCCATGATTAAGTGGAATTGGTGCACACACAGTGGGATGGGGGTGTTGGGTTCTGAAGTTAACAGTAAGGTGGAAAATGTGTGTAGAGTGTTTTCCCTTAAACCCATGAAGTCATTCATAGAATAGAGTGTCCTAGGTTTTCTAAGTTCATGAAGTAGTTGATCTGTATCTAATGGCTGCTGTTTATGAAATAAAGTGTATATTTAAACACACGATGCACATTCAGCACCATGAGAGAGGTATGTGGGACCTAGGAAGGCCTGAGGGAACAACAAATTCAGGCCTTTCATTGTAATGCCCTCGAGAGCAACTCTTATTGAGAGGCATGGCAGACAGGTTTGATGCATATAATTATTTGGGTTGCTCATTTGCCAAATAAACCTAGTTGAAGGTTTGTTTGTTTTTTAAACATAAGGGTACATTTGATGCTATTCCACTGTAACCCCCCCTGCCTCCTTTCTTTGATGATTTAAGTGTAAAAGTTATCGTTCCAGTTAACTTGTTTTCTAGACCATTTTAAAAGCATTCGTTGTCATTTATATTAAAGCCAAAACGTACACATTAACTATATCAGAATTTTGAGGATCCATTTCTTAAACACATTAAATTAAGTTTTAAAGTTGAAAATCCTTTTTTGGTTGCTTGCTGGCCTTGCAAGTTCAGGAATAGAGGATTAATATTGTTCCATTTTTGGTAGCTGGGTATGCTAGTATTTTGATAGTACTGAATCCTTTGAATTTAACTGTCGATGAATATATGAAGATACATTTTAAAGGCCTGTATGATGATAACTTTTGCCACCCACTTAGAAAGGTAGGCATATTGTGTTGATTAAAGAATTTGCCATTTCTGTTTATTGATTTTGTGTGTTTTTGTACAGGTTGCTTTCCTGTGGCGTCTTTGACATAGTTCCTAGACTGCTCCATGATTTAACTCTAAAATCTGAAATGAAGATGGAGGAGGCAGTAGGAAAAGTTGAAGAACTCATTGAGTCGGAAATTCCACCAAAAACATCCGAACAAGAGACAGCTAAGGAGGAAGATGGATCTGTAGAACTGGAATCTCAAGTTCAGAAAGATGGTGTAGTGGATTCTACAGTTCTTTCTTCAATGCCCTGCTTGTTGATGGAACTGAGAAGGGACTCTTCTGAGTCTCAGTTAGCATCCACAGAGAGTGACAAGCCGACAACTGGCCGAGTTTATGAGAGTGACTCCTCTAATCACTGCATGCTTTCCCCTTCCTCTAGTGGTCACCTGGCGGATTCAGATACGTTGTCTTCTGCAGAAGAGAATGAACCCTCCCAGGCAGAAACTGCGGTAGAAGGAGACCCTTCTGGAGTGTCTGGTGCCACAGTTGGGCGCAAGTCTCGACGGTCCCGATCTGAAAGTGAAACCTCCACTATGGCTGCCAAGAAAAACCGGCAATCCAGTGATAAACAAAATGGCCGAGTTGCCAAGGTTAAAGGTCACCGGAGCCAAAAGCACAAGGAGAGAATCAGGCTACTGAGACAGAAACGGGAGGCTGCTGCGCGTAAGAAATATAACCTGTTGCAGGACAGTAGTACCAGTGATAGTGACCTGACTTGTGACTCAAGCACGAGCTCGTCAGATGATGATGAAGAGGTTTCAGGGAGCAGCAAGACAATCACTGCAGAAATACCAGGTAGAGGATGTTTTTTAAACTGACTGTAGAGCACCTGATGGCATTTCTCAGCTGTCAGACTCAGTTAGATGAGTGACACTTGAAAAAATCCAGGAGACCTGCAGCTCTGTAAATTTGAAGACTGCAGTGTATTAACAAGACATGGCCAATTTAAAAAACCTGTTCTGAGGTTTCCAGTGCACTTTAGCACATCAGCAAAAAAAAATATTTAAATGGTTAATGATAGGGACAAGATTATTTTTAAGTAATGGAATTTTCCACAAGTCTCTTTCTCTGTAACACTTACCTGAACTCCCATCATTGCCTTTTTAGCACTGCTTAGATTCAGTACTCACTGTTCAGCATTATTACTAAGTACACTATCCTCAGGAATAGGCACCTTGCTTTATTATATAGCCACTGCACTCGAGCTTATGGTGTCTGAAATAACATGTTCTATCTTTTGTTAAAGTTTTCTAATAACTGTTCCTCCTAAAACAGTAGTTTTATGTGTTTTTCCTCAATTCAGTGCATGATAAGCTAGTTATCCTTGGTGCACATCTTTCTATTTACTTGCATTGAAAATAATGTTTTTGCAAAATTTCTCCCTTACTCCCAAAGCTTTAAAAAACTTGATAGAAATCTGCTTGTTCCGGCATTATTGGTATAGTGTTTACTTTATTAAATGTTTGACACTATCTGCTTTCTCCGTATTATCACATCTGGTATTGTGCATGACAAAGGCAGTCTTTGGATTTCATAGTGGAAGAAAGAGGAGGTCTGAACGGTTCTTAATTGGTGAATTCTCATTATTGAAGAGACTCTTATGATTAGTAACATTCTGTAAACTAGATGGCACTTCTAGTTTCATGACAGCATTGTTTATTGCTAAATTAAAGAGGGAAATTTTGGTTTTCAAAGTTTTATGGGTGACTGTTTTTTCGTCCTAGTTTTCTGAAAGGCTTTTGTTTCTAAATATGCAGACAGCATATTGCTGACACAAAGAATATTTCAAGAAAAAAGAATATTGGTTAATTAAACCTATAGCTAATCAGAATTTATACAAACTCAAAACAAGAATAATGGGTTTTAAAGCACTTTATAGGTCTTCAACTTCTAATAATAAAAGTAGTCTCATCTATATAGTATATTAAATGCAAGTTTTTAACAGTCATTAGAAATGCTTATTGTTTTAATGTCTACTGAATTTTTATGGTGGTTCCTTGTGTTGAAATTAACGGGGAGGGGATTTAATTGAAGCTCATCAGTTGAGTCCATAAGAGAAGCAGACTTTGGGGTTGTTCTAAGGCAGGTTCTATGTATATTTCAGTTTTACATTTAATATTTTTAAGAAAACTTTATTAATACCTGTAAAATTGTTCATTTATTCATATGTTCTGTTCTAATCTCTTAATCAATATCATGCTGGATCTCTTGATACAGTGCTTAATTGCACTCACTGAACAGATTTTTATGTAACCACCCCAGTACTTTGCCATTTTATGGGAAGGAAGGAGAAGGTAGGTGAACACAACTCTCTTTGAAGTTAGACCCCATTGTAGAGGCGGCATGAGACATGTCTTCATGGGCACTCTCCCTGTTTGGCTTACATAGGTTAGATGTGCTTTGTTCATATTTTCCAAACCTCTTTGCTAATTGACTGCCTTGACCAGTGTTTAAAACTTTTAAACGACCAGTGGTCTGTTTCTTGTCTATTCTGAACTGAATACTTACAAAAACACCAAAGTAAATTATTAGGATCCATAAATTTTAGTTTCTAAAATTTATTTTGTTCACATGATTTAGTAAGTTTGTGGCTTTTGAAAATATGTAGAGTTTTCTAAAGTAATCATGGAGAATAAAATGGTAGGTAAAGGTGCAGGGTCGCTGTATGTGACTGCCTAGGTTGTTCACTGTACAGTTTCAGGAGGTGCTATTCACATAAGACAGGTATGAATGGTCTTTCCTGCAATTATGCAAAGCAGCGAAGATGGAACAGCCTAAATTTAAATACTGGGAAGTTCATTTCAACTGTTTGTTACCCCAGAAAAATTGTGACATTGTGCATTTTAATATAATAATTATTTGTACCTCAGTTTCCTGAGTCACATTATAACTGTGGAGAAGGGGGATACACTCAATATAGCAAGAGCAGTTGTTGAAAAGTTCTGTGAATTGTAAAGATAGGATAAATTATGAACTGACTTGAGTGCAACAACATGGACACTCAGGTGAACCTTAAACTGGACGTGCCTAACAGAATCTCTTGGATGTTGAAATCTGAATCCAGCTGTTTACACAGAATGCAACCAAGAGGAAAAGTAAAAACTGAGATTCTTGCTATACTCTTTCATCAAGGTAATCTAATTTAATAATTCAGAAAATGCTTTATTTATAAGCTTTTGTTTGGCAGCAGCTTAAACATAAAAGGATTTATGCTAAGTGTCCTCTTTTGCCAAATAATTTAATAATTAATGCTTTTTCTTTTTAAGAGTGAAAATAATGATATAGACTTACATATAGTGCATGATAATGCTTAATAATTGAATTTGATATCTGGGCAACAGATGTTTATGAAGACTTTTTAGTTAACAGTTAACTGGCAAGCAGCTTAGCATGCATACTAGATCATTCTGTCCTTAAAGTTTTTGAAAATGTATTACTGTTTTATGAATTGGTTTGGAGGTATACCAAGATAATTCTGGCAGTTCGTTCATTTGGGGGACTTGGAGATGAGCAAAAATGGAATATTTTATAGTGAATATTAATGTAAAAATACTGTGTGGTGATCTTGAGTATTCAAGGCTCTTATCAAATGTCTCATTTATCTTATAGATGATCTGCCTGTACTGTTAATCACTCTTTGCAGTTTTATGATTAGAGCATTATTTCTCCTGGGGTGGGGAGGTCTCTGTAAAAATCACTATGAGACTAGATCTGTAAAGTCTGCTTTTTCAGGGAATTTTGATTTTAGTGAATATGAATAATGGACATCAGATTTCATTCAGTTCAAGAAGTTAATTCTCTGAACAGACTAACTTAATGTGCATCAGTTTACATGGGCAGCAGGGAAAAGTTTTTTCAGTAACTTGTTTTTCATAAATATTTAGCCTAGAGTAAACCTTAGGGTAGCTGAATCTTGTCTTGGTTAAAATGACCTGCTTTTATGTGGTTTAATAGTCACTACCATATAAATGCCTATTCAGACTGAGGTTCCAAAAATAGTATCCACCTTGCTAGGTAAGGGTCAGTTGTCTTGGCTTGTTTATACTTAGAAAATCTAATCAGTCTATTTTAGAGAATGTCAGGGAGGCTGTTGAGGACAGCAGTGTGAGATCACCTGAATTCCCAAACCCGGTGGCCAGGCCAGAATAGCTTAGCCCCACTCAAGCCAGTGTGTCACCACCCATTATTCACCATACACATTTATGCTCTGAAATGCTTCGTGATATTTATTCTCTCACAGTTTTTCTGAGGTAGAGACTTATGCTTGTGATCAATTTACTCTTGCTTGAAAATTTAAAAAATAAAAATTTTTAAGTAGTAAATCCCTTTGTAGAAATTTTTGAAAATAGAAAAATGTGAAGTAGAAGATTAAAATTGCCCATAATCCTGTTTTATGTTAACATTTGAATATGTTGCCTTCCATAATACATAACAAAATTTATCATACTATGTATATGTACTTCTGATTTCTTTTCCTCTTAACATTGCATTTTGAGCATTCAACCAAAACACAGTATTCTCTGTAAAATTTATTATTTTTTAAAAAATAATGTAGCTAACTGTAAGATAATTTCCCTAACATTGGTCCTTTGGGTTGTTTTTAGTTTTTGCTATATGGGAAAGAGTGTGAACACTTTAAGCCTTTGACACATACTGCCAAACTGCTTTTAAAGAAGATATTAAGGGCTGGCCAAGTGGCTCAGTTGGTTAAGAGCTTGCTCAAAGGTTTGAGCTCTGAGCAACAGCGGTTTGAGTCCGGCCCAGGCTGAGCTGCCACTGAGCTGCCAAAAGATGGCAGGATGGCTCAGCTAAAAAAAAAAAAAAAAAAAAAAGAATATATTAAGTTTATTCCACCTAAGAGCTTGAGGATTTGTTGCACTATATTCTTGCTGACTATTTATGTAAAAAAAAAAAAAAATGTAGATTTGATGGAAGAATTGTATCTTAGCATTAATTTGCATTTCTTTGGTCACTAGTGAAGTTGAAAAAAGATGTTTGTCCATTTATATTCTTTTGGTAAACTATCTTATTCATGTTCTTTGCACATTTTCCTCCTGCCACATTTGTTTTATGATTTGTGAGGGTTCTTAAGCCGATTTATTGGGGATTGAATTACTTGAAAAAAAATTAATATTAACTTAAGCAGTGGGGACTTATGGTAGAAGACCCCAAACCCACATTGGGAATACCATGACCTTTTTCCTAGATTGAAGATGAAGTGGCTAAAAGCCCGCATCCCCATTTTAAGCCTTTTATAATCTGGTTGTATTTTAGTAGCTGTTTAGGAGACCTACTAAATACATTGGTAACAAAAGACATAGACAGTAATCAGGTGAAAATTGGTTATTTTCAGCTTAGTAAATGCAAATGAGGCAGGTAAAATCCATGGAGATTTCAATCTGGCTATATAGTAGAATCACTGGGGGAGCAATTAAGACTTATGATGCCCAGGTACCAGTCCAGACCAATTAAATCAGAATCTCTGGATCTGACCCAGGCACCAGCATTTTCCCCATTTCCCCACTTCACCCCCCCTCCCCAGCTTTTTGATGATATAACTGACATATAACATTGTGTAAGTTTAAGATGTACAATGTGATTACTTGATATTCGTATTGTGAAATGATTACCAGAATAATGTTAGTTAAAACATTGATTACTTCACATAGTTATAATTTGCGTGTATTAAGAACTTTTAAGATCTGCTGAATTTTTAAGATCTGCTCTCTTAGCAACATTCATATATCCAATATTGTTAATCCAGTATTGTTAACTTAGTCACCATGCTGTACATTACAATCCCCAGGGCTTATTCATCTTATAACTGGAAGTTTTTGCCCTTTGATCACCTTAACCCATCCTCTCCTCCCACCAACCACCAATTTGCTGTTGCTGTCAGTTCGGTTTGATTACATTCCACATGTAAGTGAAATCATACAGTCTTTGTCTTTTTCTGTCTGACTTATTTCACTTAGCATAAAGGCATCAGCATTTTTTAAAGCTCTCCCAGTGATGACAGTGAGCAGCCAGGGCTGAGAACTCAGTTGAGCAGTGATATTTTAAGACTCCCATAGCTAAATATCATCGTGAAACTGGTAGTGTGGTTCAGTTAAATTCTGTTAGTGCTAGTAGGTATCAAGTTCTGAACAGTGGAGTCTAGTTTTTAAAAATCTTATCAGTTATAAAAACCACAGTGCAGGTTTATATTAATTAACAAGCATGAGCACTTTTTTCTTTTACTTCATTTAAGTGATTATTTTAAAAGCATGCTTTGTTTAAATGTGGTTTTCTGTATGCTACAATGTCTGGATAGTGTTACCTTAAGTTTAGAAGCTTTAATATCTTTTTTTTTTTTTTTTAAGATTTTTATTGGGGAATTGCGGGGAGGGGAACAGCGCTGGGGAATTGGGGGAAGGGGAACAGACAAGTTGCTGTCGTTTTTTTTGTTGTTGTTGTTCTTCAATCTAGTTGTGGAGGTCGTTGCTTCACTGGCCCAAGCTGGCACCATCATTGTGCTCTTCTCTGGCGAGGCAGATCAGTCGCTGGCTTCTGGACGGCCGCTCACTGCGGCTGCTGGCCGCTCACGCTGGCTGCTGGCTACACGCGGTAGCCCATGGCAACCCACTGCCACAGGGACTGCAGCCCACGCCGTCGCCAGCGAATCATGGCAGCCCAGCTCCAGGTTGAGCTGTTGTTCAGCATCTTAGCTGTGGAGGGCAGTGTCACTGGCCGTCCTATGTGGGATCCGAACCGGGGCCCTCTGGCATCCCAAGCGATTCTTAACCATCGCGCCACTCGGCCGGCCCAGAAGCTTTAATATCTTACTGATGGCTATCCTTCTGCAATCTCTAATGTTAAAGCAACAAGGTATTATTTTTGGCCTGCTTTTCCAAATTTATTTCCTGAAGTTGAGTGCCTATACTAACTTTGTATATGCAAAAGCATAAGCTTTGCTTTCAATACAATTCTCTTTTCTCAAAGTAGGATACATCTTAGTATTAATAAAAAAACATATGTGTGTTTAAGGTGAGAATATGGTCCCTGTTTTCTTTTAGTAGACTTTATTTCTTAGAACAGTTTTAGGTTCACAGGAAAATTGAGCAGAAGGTATAAAGATTTCCCATGTGCCTCCTGCCTTCACACATGCACAGCCTCCCCCACAAATCAGCATCCTGCACCAGAGTGGTACATTTGTTAAAATCGATAAACCTACATTGACACATCGTTGTCACTCAAGAGTCCATAATTTATATTAGGGTTCACTCTTGGTATACATTCTATGGGTTTTGACAAATGTCTAATTGGTTCCTATTTTTAAGATCTGAAAATATCTTGCTTATCAGTGTTTATTGCTGGTAGTCATCTTTATGAGGCTGAAACTTCCCTCACTGTCCCTAGCATAAGTATTTCTACACCATTTTCTGAATTGAGCTTTTAAATACACATTTTTCATTGTTAAAAAATAAGCAATGACAGAGTCGGAAACAAATCAAAGTAGCCATCTGATTTCCTGTCCTATACAATTAAGTTTACCCAGCACTTAAAACGTTGGTAAACCGCTTAAAGTTTAATATTCTTTAAATTCCATTTAGTCTTTTCAAAAGCTAAATACATTATACTCTGGGGAAAGGTACTTCCTTCTTGAGGAAGTTTACGTATAAACAAAATTTTTTAAAACATGAAGAAAGGGTGGCGTAATCGCGAAAAGTAATAAGATGATGTTAGAGAGAAGGTTGGTAACAAACTATAATGAGGTTCTTATTTACTAGGTAAAATGGTGCTAAAAATTTGTCTCATGCTTTTAGTTATTGAAAAGAGGTGGCGGGCCGGCCGAGTGGCACGATGATTAAGAACTGGCTTGGGATGCCAGAGGGCCCTGGTTCGGATCCCACATATGAGGGCCAGTGACACTGCCCTCCACAGCTAAGATGCTGAACAACAGCTCAACCTGGAGCTGGGTTGTCATGAGTCGCCGGCGACGGCGTAGACTGCAGCCCCTGTGGCAGTGGGTTGCCATGGGCTACCGTGTGTAGACAGCAGCCAGCGTGAGCGGCCAGCAGCCGCAGTGAGCGGCCCTCCAGAAGCCGGCGACTGATCTGCCTTGCCCAGGAAGAGCGCAATGATGATGCCAACTTGGGCCAGTGAAGCAACGTCCTCCACAACTAGACTGAAGAACAAAACGACAGCAACTTGTCTGTTCCCCTTCCCCCAATTCCCAAAGCTGTTCCCCTTTCCCAATTCCCCAATAAAATCTTAAAAAAAAAAAGAAAAGAGGTGGCATAACTGATTAAACAGTTTTCATTGTCTAGGAGAAACACTTAATACTGAGACTTGGTAAATGTTTCTTTTACATCTTCATAAAAAGCTACTATTAAGATAAAGTGAACCATATTTTCAGAAATATCTGGGGTTAATTACAATAGAGCATTCCATAGGGTTGTTTTTTATAAGACTTCTTGATATAAGTAGATGGTAGAAGGTCAAGATTGATTCCCTCAATCATTTATTCAGCAAACATTTGAGCCCATACTATGCAGCCTGAGAATGCAACAATGAATGAAAAATCCCTGCCTCATGGAACTTAATATTTTTTTGAGGAGATAATAAATGAATTAACATAAACTATCAGGCAGGAATATACACTATGAATAATAATAAAGTAGGATATAAGACATGAAGACCAGGGATGGGGTAGAAAAGCCATTTTATTTATTTATTTATTTTTAGCTGAGCCATCCTGCCACCTGTTGGCAGCTCAGTGGCAGCTCAGCTTAGGCCGGGAATCGAACCGCTGTTGCTCAGAGCTCAAACTCTTGAGCGAGCTCTTAATCAACTGAGCCACTTGGCCAGCCCTAGAAAAGCCATTTTAGATAGTATAGCCAAATGGTCTGAGGAGGTAACTTTTTTTTTTTTTTAAAGATTTTTATTGGGGAATTGGGGGGATGGGAACAGCCCTGGGGAATTGGGGAAAGGGAAACAGACAAGTTGCTGTTGTTTTGTTCTTCAGTCTAGTTGTGGAGGATGTTGCTTCACTGGCCCAAGTTGGCACCATCATTGTGCTCTTCACGGGCGAGGCAGATCAGTCGCCGGCTTCTGGACGGCCGCTCACTGAGGCTGCTGGCCGCTCACGTTGGCTGCTGGCTACACACAGTAGCCCATGGCAACCCACTGCCACAGGGGCTGCAGCCTATGCCGTCGCCGGCGACTCAACGGCAGCCCAGCTCCAGGTTGAGCTGTTGTTCAACATCTTAGCTGTGGAGGGCAGTGTCACTGGCCCTCATATGTGGGATCCAAACCGGGGCCCTCTGGCGTCTCAAGCCAGTTCTTAACCATCGTGCCACTCAGCTGGCCCAGGAGGTAACATTTTTAATAGCTCTCTAAAAAAATGCAGAGTTCAGTATAATTAGATTTTTTTTAGAGACCCAAGCTGTATGGGACCCAAACCAAAGATGATCTGGCCTAGTTCAAGGATAAAACAATATATGTAGGGGAGCATATCCTAAACTGAAATCATACGAAACCACTCTTCTACTGGATATTAATAGCTGTACATTATGCACACATATGAAAAGTGCTGGGTCATGTGCAAACAGTCTTCTTTACTGCAGGACAACTCGGCCATTGATGTGCTCTCCAGAGGGGTGGATAGCATATCCCAAACTTGTGTATATATATTTATATGGTTTTATATAAGGAATTTTTAAAACTTGAAATGAGTGTTTGATAAGACTCAGCTGAGAATTATTGTATACTGATTTATTGTGGGCCAGCTGCCAAAATGACTTTTAGAATTTTAAAGTCAAAGCAATAAAAATATTCGAGAATACAGTGAGTGTTAACCAAGGCTGTACATTCAAATCACCCGGAGAGCTTAAAACAAAACAAAACAAACCTATAATGGCTTGGAGCCCACTTAGGTTTTGGTATTTGTGAAACCACTCCTGGTTTTTATGTGTTAGCCAAGGTTGAAAACCACCATTAATAAATTAATAGTTACTTGTAACAGAATATATGCTCCCAGGCAGATATATTGAAGCTATGAAAATGGTAGTTATGTTAGTTTTATTTTTCTTGGAATTACTTTTGTTTGGTTAATTTAAGTACTGCTTATCAGTGCTCTATATGGCTGTTCTTAGTAATGCTTATGCTATTTTCCTGAATAAGCATGTCTTAATAAAAATGCAATTTTCTGAATTAATGATGTTTTATCAAATGGCCTGCCTCAATGTCTTTAAAGCTGACTTCAGTCATGCTGGGGGATCTGAAGGAGCGCCCAGGGGAATTCCAGGATTACTTGACAGGGGTGCTGTGTGTGATAGGAACCGTATAGGCGGTGTCCTAGAAGAGGCCATGAGCTGTTTTTCGGAGATGCAGAGGCAGACAGAGGAGAAGTTCCGCGTGTGGATGGAAAAGTTAACTCACCTTGACACTGGCGAAGAGAACAATCCGCTACTGGAACCCAGGGAACTTAAAATGCAGCTAGTTGGCCAAAGCATTTCCCCTATCACCCAATCAGGTGCTTACATGCAGATACCTGATTTCCAAGAACTGCCACAGCAGCCCTTTGATTCTTATGTGACTTGCTGGAATGTTGACAGTACACTAGAATTCCCAAAGACTTGTAACAGTTTTTCAATTAACTTTGCTGAGAATGGGAATATTTCAGAACAACCTTTGAATCTATCACAAAATTAATTGTGTTAAAACTATCTGCTTTTTGAATTGTGTAAGAATTTGTTTTTGCCCATTGTAAGTTTCTTTTGATTTTTAAAAATTAAAATAGTAAACAGTTTCATTTAAAAAAATTAGATATTCAGAACAAAGCAGAGTTTGACCAATCTTAGCTTGAGTTTTGTTACATATGGTTGGAACATAGAACCATATTTATACGATACTAGGAATGATCCTTATTTTATGTTTTTTTCATGCCAAAAATATAAATAAGAGATAAAATAGGGAATCTTAGTGAATCCAAATAGGTAAGTAGTTCATTCCTTTAGAATCCCATAGCATTTATTTTCTACAAACACTGTTGACTTGCTTCTGATTCCAGTAGAGGGAATCACATAATTAACCCCACTCTGAAGACCATGGATGAATGTACTGCATGAATATTTTTATATCATTCTTCCGTATGTCATTTAATGAACTAGATTGTTGCTAGTCTTCAATGAATTATATAATATTAAGTAGCATTTGTATGCAGGAAGAGTGAATGAATTTTTGAGCAAATATATACTCTGTACCTACTATGCAAGACACTGTAGGGAAAGCAGATTAGGCTGGGGTTTGATATCATGCATGAGAAAAATAGTCTTTTTCGTTGTTACATGGATGATCTTGAGCTCTATCTTAAAGCTGAGTGCCTGTTGTAATAGCCTGACAGACATCATCCAGTGAAATTATCTGGTATCCAATGTAAAGGTACCTGTAGAGGAAACAGATGAAATGGTACTCTATTAAGGGTATGTATTGAATGGGTTTTTAAGTTACTAGTGACTAAGTGTATTAGCTAATGTACTATCAATTTAATTTTGTTTTCAATCGCTGGACTGAAAATAAATGGCCCTTTGGCATGTAAAAGGGCCCATGGAGTATGTCAAAGGGAAGAAAATACCACAGGATTGAGTCTTGCAGCATGATATCTCTATGTGCGGCCTAGGATTGGGAGATACTGGTATTTTTTCTTTTCTGCATTGGTAGAAATATTGTGAGAAACAGCTAAATTAGGATGAAATTTTTCAATAGGAATATGTAACTTTGCTAACACTAACTTTTTTAAAAAAAATGTGCTTTCTACTAATACAAATTTATTAGTTTTTCCCTTCAAATTTATAACAATTTCTAAATATGAAAAAAGTTACTATCTAATGAAGTTGCAACTTTGGGAAGAAATCTGTGTTTTATAAGACAAAGGATACGTGGTATGTTTGGAGTTTCATATATAAACAATCAAGAACTTTATTTTAATAATTTACCAGTGATTTTACTCAGAAAAACTGACACTTTTTTAATTCAGTTCTATATCCAAATACTTGCAACTTGTAAGTTAACTGTAATAGACTGAGCCCATTTTTTTCTTTTCCAGTTTTGAACTGAAAAATAACTGTGATTTGGTGTTTTCATTTTTAGAACTTGATGTATGAGCATTGGAAGTTAACTTTGGGGGAGTGGGGGGAAGGCTTGTTAATGTGCTCAGTTCTCATTTAAGAATATATGTATGAATTGATGAAAAAGACCGGAAGTTTCTTCTTTATTGTATAATCATTGTCAGATTTCCTGAACATAATATTTGACAAATAGGGTTTGTCACCAATAAGGTTTGAACACCAGTGCAACTTATGATAAATTTCTTCACATATGCTAAGCTCTTGCATAATGTTAGTATGACTTTTCACCATAAAATATAGTTTATTATAATTGATGAATTTTTCTCAGAAATAATAGTGCAACACTTGTAAGCTACTTCAGCTACTATTTTTTTTAAATTAAGTTTTAGATCAATGGGAAGAGCATATTGGTTTTGGATGACTGACCAAGTTTGAAGTAATTCTGTAATTTTTACTTGAAGTTGAGATGTTTTCAGGGAAGTTTGTTCTGTCTTCAATTTTTTACTGGGTGCACAGATTTTACTAGACATGGAATTGTAGACATAAGAAAATACTAATTTCAGCATGTGAACATGATACTTTTCTATGCATGTATTGAAGCAGTTTTGCTTCAAGGACTTTTTTGTTTCTTGATTTAATATTTGATATATGAAGCATGTTCTGAAATGCTTTTTATTTCTAAAATAGAAAATATGAACTTATCTTTTAAGAATAACACATAGACAAATAATTCCTAGTATTGACTGGATGTATTCTAATTTTTGTTACGAGATAACTAAGAGGTCTGGAGTATTTGTTTTGTTCCTATGAAAAATTTAAATGGAATGGAATTATCAAAGGCTTTATTTTGTTGGGGTATAATTGACTTACATCATTATATTATTTTCAGGTAAACAATGTAATGGTTCAGTATTTGTATATATCGTAAATTGACTACAATGAGTCTAGTTAACATCTGTCACAACACATAGTTACAGAATTTTTTTGGTGATGAGAACTTTTTTCATTTTTTTCATAAGATTTACTCAGCAGCATTCAAATGTACAATACAGTATTATTAACTATAATCACCATGCATCCTTACATCCCCATGGCCTGTTTATGTTATAACTGGAAGTTTGTATCTTTTGACTCCCTGCACCCATAAACCCTCAACCCCTCACTCTCTGCCCTCTATATCTGGCAACCACCAATCTATGAATTTGGTTTTTGTTTTTTTTAGATTTCACATATAAATGAGATCATATGGCACTTGTCTTTGTCTTAGCATAATACCCTCAAGGTTCATCTATGTTGTCGCAAATAGCAAGAATTCGTTCTTTTTTTTTTAGCTGAGCCATCCCGCCACCTGTTGGCAGCTCACGGCTGCTCAGCTCGGGCTGACTCGAACCACTGTTGCTCAGAGCTCAAACTCTTGAGCGAGCTCTTAACCAGCTGAGCCACTCAGCCGGCCCAAGAATTCGTTCTTTTTTATGGCTGAATAATATATTCATATATATAATATATTATATATATATAACAATGCATTTTCTTTATCCATTAATCCATTTGGACACTTATTTCCATGCCTTGGCTGTTGTGAATAATGCTGCAGTGAACATGGGGATATCTTTTCAATTTAGTGTTTTCATTTTCTGTGGATAAATACCCAGAAGTTGAATTGCTGGATCATATAGTAGCTCTATTTTTAATTTTTTGAGGAACCCCCATACTGTTTTCCATAGTGGCTGCACCAGTTTACACTAGGGTTCAAACATAGGTTTTAATCATTGATATTCAAGGTAAGAATAACATTTTGAGTATTTAGAAGGTGTTAAACACTAATAATTTTGGGAAGCCTTTCTGTATAATTTTGGATAAAGATTAGAGGGGTTTTGGTAAAAAGAAAGAACACCAGAATACATTGATTTAATTCATAGAATACATGCCAAAATACTAAAATTTATTTTAAAGTGAAATTTGATATTTTATGGTTAGGAGTGTTTAACCTTAAGAACAGTTTTGTAGCAGAAACATATATGCAAATTTTATCCTGATTTTCAGTTTCTCACAGGGCCTTGAAAATGTGTTCTGTCTTAAGGATTATTGTTTTGAAAAACAATGTTTTTATGAATTGTGCGTTAAATGATTACACCTTTTCCAGGTTGCATAATTTAAAAATTTCTTTTTCAAAAAGTTTGTTTTTGTATTATGAACATGTAAAGAAGTATTAATTATTTGAAGTAGTTTTAATACTTTTTTTTTTAACTGCTGTTGTGGATTATTGAATTCTTTCACTGAGGCACAGTCTGTATTCCTAAGATTATAAGTACTTACAAGTACTAATACTAAGAAGTGGGAATTACTTTTTGTATTCTTTGGTAACATTTTCATGTAGGTATTGTTTTAGAAGTGCCTAGTGGTCTTCCCTTAATTTACCTTGAATTCCTTTAATTTTCCTTGAGTTTTAAGAAGGATGAGGAGTGTATTCTGTTTAGACTCTTTTGTAGTCTATAAAGGGCTAATGCTGGAAAGAAACTTCTTTCAACCTATAGCATTAATCAAGACATGGTTGAAATGCTGTTTATTTAAGAATAAGATTCTAGATCTGGATTATTTCATTCCTCGAATATATGCAGATAGAATTTAGTCGCTGGTATTTAAAAGAAGGCATCATTCCCTCACTAAAGGTAAATGTGTTTTCTGATAATCTGTCTATAGACTGCTTCTTGCCTATTTTGTGCTAATTCAGTGTTCTAGGACATTAGATACCTAATCATTTTAAGAGAATTTAACCAGTAGATTTGACTGATCTGGTTGTTTGAGCCATTTATTAGGTAATAGTAACTCATAATTATATTGATGCATATTTGTGTGCATTATTAAAATTAAGTGTAATAAAAGCCCAAATACAATTTTAATTTAGAACACAATGCAGTGAAATTAAAATGTTAAGATTAAAAAAAATTTAATATTTTGCATGAAGTGTTTTGTTTTGTTTTTTTCCCCCACTTAGAAGTAGAATAAAGGATTTTGTCATTTTAGATCTCCAAGAGAAAAGCCTTGTTTTTTTGTTACCAATTCAGAGGAATGAGCCTAGTTTCAAGGGTGTGTGTGTGTGTGTGTGTACCCACCTTCAGAATTCTGTAATAATTAATTTTGTATGTTTATTAATATTATAGTTGACAAGTTTTTGGAGACAGATAACTGCAGTAGTATACAGGGATTTTACTGGATTCAGGTCATTAATATAGTATCCATTCATTGAGTCTTAAATATATGTAAGAAAAAAAGTTGCCAACAGATAAACCTAGTTAGGGTGATTAAATTGGAGGGAAAAGATTCATTTTATTTTAATTGTCCGTGAAAGGTTTTAAACCTCTTGGTTGTTTCACTAGCAGACTGTGTAAAAAAATATACAAGAATTTATTTTGCTTCATTGCTTTTTGTCAGTCCCTACTGGTATGTAGATTTGACAGCAAGGGTCTCTGAATATAGATCTTTCTCAATTTACATAAGATTTATTACTTAAAATTTGTATGCAAGCCCAAATATTAAAAAATGAAATCCTTTAAATCTGCTTGTTAATGAAAGAAGTGATATAGTGAATCCTTTTGTTGAGCAAACAGAGCACCCCAGATTGATATTACTAATAATTTTTACTTTTAATAGCAACTGAATTTGTCTAATGGTACAGTTACATAAAAGTTATAGGAAAGATGGCATACAGACTTTGTTGCTATCATTTATTTAGAATAACAAATTACAGGCAAGTTATCGTACAGAAGGTGACCTTTTAAGTAATTTTACCCATTCTGTTTTGTTTGGCTTATACTGATTTCCCTTTCTCCAGTTTGTATTATTTAAATTGTGTAGTGAGGGCACATGGCAGAAAACACAGTATCCAAACAATTTCAGCAAATTTATTAAAATGTATTTATTATTAAATTGTTATATAAAAATTGTTCTCAAAGAAAAATTCTTCTCAAAATCCTCTCCAGAAATGGCATATATGCCCTCAATCATTGTAGAGATAAGTAATTTGTATTTTAAATTTGTCTATAACAAATTGAGTATATGAGTTGTAAACTAGCATGAAGAACTTCAGAGTTTCTATATGTACTTTTAATTGTTTTCTTGATTTCTAATTTTAATTCCTCTGAACTTTAGGAAAGTTAGTGGGGATTGAAACCACATTTAGTTTACTGGTATTACTGAGTTGGTCTTTTCATATTAAATTACCACAACATAAAATAGAAGACATCCTAAAAAATGAAAGAATAATAATTCATGAGGAAGTGTATTCTTTGGTAACAAAGTCTTATTCATATTATAACTTTAAGATTTGGGAAGAATGATATTAAATTACTGTGATTTTTATTTTATTGCATTTTCTTTATATCTTTTAAATGACTGTGCGTTTAAAATGTAACAACTAACCTAGATAAATAAAAATTTTAAAAAGGAAATGTTTCTTGTTACTCTGTTGAGGACAGTATTGTTATATTAGTGATTCCCTACCAGTTAATTCACATTAGGTGTTCCTGAGTCAAGAAACCTGCTTTTCTATAATGAAGTCAATGGTATTAGCTTGTAGTTAATAAAACTAATAGAATTTACATGTTTTGGGGATAATTTTCATTTTTTTTGTAATTGGTATATTGAAAAAGAAAATAACAGAATACCAATATTAACATAAAAGGCCAGGATTCTTTTCCTTGATATGTCCTAAATTATCATGTTAAAAAATTGAGGAATATTTTGAAAATAACAAAATTTAGACTACTTTGAGGAGTAATTAAAAAGCTGGAGTGGATGAATCTGTAGCAGGGTACATAGACATGGGGATGTAGCCAAAATCGTATCTAATTTTTGTGTTTTTCCTTTATGTATATAGTGCAGATATTTGTTTTATTCTCTGTAGATCTGAATCCTCAAAGCAACAGGTCACAGATCTGCCCCTGAAATTGAAAGATAAATTGAAAGATCATGATCTCTTCCAGTTCTGTATTTTTAAGTTCTGTCCAACATCTAGATAAATTACACAAGTCATTTTTTTAAGTAACCCCTTGATTCAGTTTTCCCAACTATGTATTAGTGATGAAGCATTAAATTTAAATTGTTTTTCTTTCTTGGGATCAACTTTTTAACTACTCTGATAATCTTAAATATTTGCTTTTACCTCTTCTTTGATTCTTTCAAAATTAACTCTTCATCAGTATCACAGGTAACTTCTGGGTGGACACAATGACCTGTCATTTACCAGTATGATATAAGGACAGATGTAGTCCTTAAAACTTTATTCCAACCTTGGAATCTTCATAACACCTAAATTTTTAGTAATTGAGATGGGTATGATGAAAAAAGTACAAAATAGACATTGATTCAGTTGTATTTTTAAAAAGACTTAATTCCCAAACAAAATTTCAGTGCATATTGCTACATTTCATTTCTATTTACCCCTATCTTCTCAGACTTTTTTCTTTTTACTAAAAGAGCTTTACGATGTTATTCTGAAGAAAATATACACAATGCAGTTTTTGGTATTTAAAGCTTTTTTTCTAGATATGGCACTTTTCTATATAGATTTTTGTCTTTTCTGGTTGATGTAATTAATCACCTTTTCTAAGAGATGCTTTGAAAATGACTGCTTTCTATTTTTGCAAATTGTTCTATGTATATATTTTTATTGTTTGATAGTAATAAAAATACAGCATAAATATTCTTGTACTTTTTCTCATTTGCAAATGTAAAGTGACATCTTGGTGTAAATGGTTTGTAATGAAAAAGGTGTTTTTTCTTGGATAGATTCTCCTCAAATGCAAATTCCTTTCTGCAACTCTTGAGGGCAGCCTTTTCCCTCAACCCCACACCTCATTTAACGACACCTATTCCCCTCACTTGGCCTCCACACACCCAGTCGGCCTTCCTAGACACTTTGGCTAGGTAAGTGCTAAGA